GCCTGGCGGCCCTGCACAGGTGGCAGAGAAGGAGTCGGAGTCGGAGTCGAAGGAGGAGGATCGGGTATAGCCAGGATCACAGGTAAGGGGACCCGGTTAGTGTTAGGGCCCCCGAGCCCCTCGATTGGCTAGAACCACCAAATCAGGTCTGCCGTAGCTGGGTTTTTGTTCGGGTGACGGCAGTTCAGGTTAGTGGAACGGAGCGGGGGGGGGCGTCCCCCAGTACACATCATTAAACCAGGTCCCACTAAACCCAGTTCTGCCAACGCCCGAAAGGAGTCGGAGTCGAAAGATGAGGATTTGTTTTTGCATCCACGATGCCGCAAACCGCCATACAGTCAACCCGCATAGTAAGGGTGGGCAGCCTTCCCAAGGGTACCCTTGCATCCTTGCCTCCTCGGTCCATCCTTGGCCGCTTTGGCTGGCCAACCTCGTTCGAAAAACGTGAACGTGGCACTCCAAGGCCCTTGCATCCTTACCGCGCATCCTTATTGTACGGGTTGACTGTACTCCCCAGAAGGTGGATGAAGCCAACTGAGGGAGATCCAGTGGCTCGGACCGCCGAGCACATCAGATCGTTGGTGCCGAGCCGTGCACCGACAGCACGACGCGACGCTAAAGATGGCAAAACCTGTTCAAATCGACAGTGACCCCGATCTTCTTCGGACGAAGTTCTTTCTGATGATTTTTGTTCCACGGATTGCTTTGTGACGTACCTTTGTTCGGCACGCACTGCTTATCGAGACTGCGCACTTGGCCCCCCGACGTCACATACAAGCACTTGTGGTAGATACACAAAAATGAGCCGTCCAAGCAATCGAGCAAGACACAGTGGTGGCCGAGAGCTCGGAGCTTGGACGGCCGGACGCGCAAAACAGTCGAACACACTCCTGACTGCGGCTCGACCGTCGGAACTCCCCGCCTTCCACGCAGACAGGTGGCACACTGCCAGTACTTGCCCACCCATCCCTGCTGATGCGCAGGACGGTCCTCTTGTGGCTTAGCCACAGGGGGAGCAGGGATGCGTTGGGTATTGGGGCCTAGGGACAGAAGTGGCCACAAAACGAGCAACTTAGCCCCCAGGCGACCCACAGCACGAGCAACGGCACAGGATTTATGAAGACCCTCACGCAACTCCACCGACTGCTCAGGATGCAAGAGCACCGCTTCCCTGGCGGCCTTGTCGGCCCAATCGTTCCCTTGTCGCCTGTAGCGGTAATCATCATCGACCGCTTCCTCTACCGTGAGATTGGCACGAACCTTTTCAAGCTCCACACGAGGCCGTGGCCAATGAACGAACTGAGCCAACCCATTGAACATCCTCTTGGCCGAAATCTGCTCGCACCACGACAGAGCAGCGAAATCAACACAGCCTTGACAATTCGAGAAAACAGTGCTGGGCCCCGTGGCCCATTGACAGACAACAGACATAGCATGATACGTAGCCGCCTGAGGCGTCTGCAAACAGGGATCCCACACAGGCCCTCGCACCCGCATAATGACTTTTCCCGTCAGGATGAGGGCCCAGCCAGCTCTATTTAGTTCCCCGGTAAGGTACTTAGCGCAAGATCCACTAACAAAGATATCCCTTTCAAACATAACGCTGTTGTCTCCCACCATCTCCTCCCAGTCCGACGTGATGCCTCCCTCGGAGCACGGCGACGGGAAAAAGTCGGCGGGGTGATCGACAATTCCGAAGCACGCCAAGTTGTCGCCGGCCTCAGCGGCCCACTTCTGGATCTTCAGAGGCACCACGCTATTCCTCAGCTCCATGCACTCAGGGTCCTGGCACTCCCAGAGCCTATGCCTAAGAGTATCCTTGGCCTCCCCACACCGATGGCAAATATCAGAAGGTAAGGCATATCTAGGCTTCTCAGCACGGTCCATAGTATAGATAGCATTACACAAGAGAGTTCTAAGGCAACCCTTCTGATAAGGGGTATGCTTACTGCTGCGAGGGTAGCGCAGGATAGGTTCGACACACGCCCGAGCTTGCAAGTTCAGACGGGCCCCAAAGTCCCACGCCAGCCCCTTCCACAACAGCTTTGCGCAGCAAGTTACGCACACGACGGGGCGAGAACCCAGTAAGCTTCATACCTTGTCCCTGGTCAGTCACCAACACCGCGAAACTGTCCATGGCCCAGGTGATACGCTCGAACGACTTCCGCAGGGCCGCCACTGGGCCCGTCGCACTTCGCCACAGCGGGGATTCGGCACGAAGCCCAGCCTCCCAGACAGCCCGAAGCTTCGTGAGCCCGAGGGTGTGGTGGTAAGAATGGCGGTGTGCCCACCACACCTCCTTAGTCCAGTCACACATCGGCGACACCGCCGCGGGCCAGCACGTGTCGCCGTGCGCCAGCAGCAGGGCCGTGAGGGAGCTGCCCTTAGCGGACGGCTGCAGGACAGACGCAGCTTGGCGGCGATGTTGCAGCAATTCGTAATCGCTGACCCCGTACACCTCGGACCCAACCAACTCCGACGCCAGGACCCCCTAAGCAACAAAAAAACATTGCGGGAAACTCCCCCCCCCCAACCGTGGCACTAAGCCTTCTCAAGCGGCCTACGCAGGCCTTCGACTTTTAACGCGTTTCTTATGCTTGGAGCTGCGACCTTGGACTCGCCTAGACCGCCCAGCCCAGTCGTCCACTCCGAGGTTAGGTGCCGAGCTGACTGGCGGGCCTGCCAGCCCTCCAAGCTTGGCGGCCAGCTCCTTGCCCAAGGACCTGGAGGATCAAATTAGAGACCGCTTGCCCTCATCCGTGCTGACCTTAGCTCCCACCCCCTCTTCCAGGATAGAGCACAGCAGCTTGGCAGCGGGCGGCAAGTGATCCACAATGTAGTCCTTAGGCCCCGTGGCACGAAGCCCCGAATCGTCGATGTAAAGCTTGAAATGGAGCTAGGGGGAAGTTTGATTTTGCCCAGGTCCTGGATAGCATGCGCGCGGATAAACGAGGTGGCGAAAGCGCAACCAGCAATGATACCCCCGTGGCCCAAAAGGGCACGTCCACAAAACCGTTATGGACGAAACAATAGGCCTGACGGTACATGTTGATGGCTAATCTGGCCTACGCAATCGGAAATTGCATCCGACGGCAACGGTGCAAGAGAAGTTGGAGATTGGCCGTTTCATATTACTAGTAGAGATCAAGCAAGACCGTAGCAGCCTCGTCCTTACACAGTGTAGAGCTCTCAGCCCTCACAGCCTGTCTCCACACCACATCCCGAGCCCCCTCGTAGGGTCCGGCCGCGAAATAGTCTTGGAAAACTTGTGCTCCCAAGACTGCGCAACAGGCCGCCTGACCTTGCCGCGTGCACGGTATGACGCACATACGTTGCCGATCGGCCTAAAGCCAGCACTCGGCTTGGGGATCAACGCGAGCAGAGTGCCCGACGTTTGCCGAGGGACCAGAGCCGTGAGTTCCATCACGGCAAACATAAAAGAGACAATGCGCAGGAGACAACCAGTCATAACATTGAAATACCGCATGTGGAAGCCGTCAACGCTGACCAAAGTGTCATCCTTGAATGTTCGAGAGAATTCCCTGATGGCCCCCACGGGCACGGGTTCCAACTCGGGGGCCAATTCGCCAACCTCAAACCGCGGAGCAGGGCTGGCGTCTCCCCGCAGAGTAGAAAAGCGTTGATATCCAGCTTCCAAGAGGGATACGGGGTCAGCCACCACCACCCCGTCCAAAAAGAGGGTGGTGGTAGGAGCCCAAGGGGTCGCCCCTCTACAAAGTAAATGAACCCTGCGCGGCCCCCTGTCAGCCTTGCACAACAACCATTCACGCCATTGATTGTTCGATTGCCGTCTAACATCCGCCTCGACTTTGGCCAAGACTCTTTGGAAGGCTTCCACCAGATGCAGAAACCTCAGAAAAGCGGTCCTGCCTCCTCTTCAACCATGGGCAGCTCTTCGATGAACGACAAGAGCGAGGAGAGGTAGGAAGCAGCTATGCCTAAGAGGCTGGCACACTTAGGTGGCGACAAGAGAGCGTTCATGGCGCCGCGCATGCTAGCCTGAGACCCAGCCGCCCAATGCCCCTCGAAGGAGCAGAACATGGTGGCCAGCCACCGCAGGCAAAGAGCTGCTGATCATTGCCTTCCGCCGAGTCCTTGGATCGAACATCACGCCAATGCATCTGGGGGGACGTACCCCGAGCACCCCGGAGCGGCGACCTTGCCAGTGGCAACGCAAACCTCGCGCTCCGCAGCGTTGGCCCGGCCCCAGGCGGCCCTGTCCAGGCCCTCCTGGGCCCCGTCCAGGTCCCCAGAGGTCGCCGCCTCGCGAGCCTCCTCGAGGACTCGGAGGACCCACCACGGCTGCGGACACGGCTCGCGGACCATAATTGGCGCCAGCGGAGCGGTAGGGATCGGCGGGGGGCGGCGAAAAGCCAACGCTTTCAATCTCCCGAAGCTCGGATGCAGAGCAGTTCTAACTGGCGAGTGCGGGGTCAAACTGGTTTCTCGGATGACTTGAATCGCGCTGACAGCCTCAGCCACATCGGCCGAGACAGCACATAATCGTATTGCTTAAGCCCCGCCACGGATCTACAAGTGCGTCTTTCGGGCAGAGAAAAGTGGATGGTGCGTGCTTGCGCCCCTGGCCCCGACGAGAGATGGGCGCGGGGCTCCACGTTGAAATCGACGCCTTGAAAAAGAAAACAAAAAACACACACACACACACACACGCGCACACGGATGTCCCAGGGCCTCCCCAACAGACAAACGTGAGCACAACATATCAGTATCCGTAAGGGCTTCGCCCCCTGCCGCCGGCCCCCTCTCTCGGAGAATGGGCCATGGAAGAGCTAAGTCATGAGGCCTTGGCGCTGTCGTGAAGCAGTATCGAAACTTCATGCGAAGCCGATTCGCAATCAGCAAAACCAACTGATCACAAGAGGGGTTACCACACCTGGCGATTGGTAAGACGTGTATGGTTTACGGGCTTGGTTACCACACCTTGCGATTAAAGGGCCGAGGGAGTTCTCGCAGTTTGG